ATCCAAAAGTATGACTCAATGGAAGAGCTGGATACAAGATGCCTAAGAATGCAGTGCATCTCCAGAAGTAGCCTCCCTTGGTGTGTCCAGTGTGCAGTCTAAGCAGGAGCATAAAGCACTTCCTTTGCCCAAATGAAGATAAGAACTCCAGGGGAAGACAAGTTTCTTTTGCTTGTCCTACCAGAGGTTGTATATTTAGTCCATGCAAAGAGATGTGAATGAATTAGGTGGTTGTGCTTTGGAGACTTCTTAATGTGCCACCTGCTAAAAGTGAGCCCCTGGAATTAGCATAGAATCTGTGTTTTGTTTTCAATTGCTGATCAGTGTGGAGGGGAGGAACACACAAAAAGACATTAAAAAGTATTAAGAATTGTTTTTCTTGACTATTTGGCTATAAGCATATAAACTTCTCAGACTCCTCTTAATTTCCTTTATATTTTGATGCAGCTGATCAAACATGGACTTTGTATTTCCCCTATAATGTGAATACTGTAGTTGGGTTGAAAATGCTTCCCAGCAGCAGTCTAACTGTGGCAACAGATCCACAATTTTGCCCATCTGTAAAGCTGGAATGAATTTAAGGAAATAAACTTTTAAGACTGGAACTTATTAATTTGTTATGTGGTTTTGGTGTTTTTTTAACTTGACTCTTATCAGGGAATGTCAGAAATTCTTGTTCATAAGCTGTTTACGTTCTCTGCAGTGTCTTCACTGTCTCTTCAGGTCAAACCTGGAAGAGCTTTATTTGAGCTCCAGTGAAAGGTTGCAGAGAACTTGAGGTTATGAGGGACGTAGTGTGCCCTCCTAGATTCACTGCATTTTGCAGCATCCTTAACTCTTGTCAGCTCTTACATAGATGAATGATGGCATAAACTACTACTTTTTGATTGAAAACATAGCTTACGGTGTGGTTTGGATTTAACATTGTATTCCAATATTAGTGCTAATACTGTGACATGTAATAGTTTTCTGAAAAGGAAATGGAATTTAGAGAGAGGCTTTTCTTCAACTGAAGATACCAGTGCAGCTTTTTGTATGGTGTTCTTTTTAGATCAGTGCCCTGTTTCAGTATGACTACCTGTGCTTTTTAGTAAGTGATTAGAAACTAAAGTTGACAGGTTATTTAGGGTACTATGTTTATATCTATATTTGAAGAAGGCTGCCCTTTAGTTTCCTTAGGTATCAGTATTAGGAGCAGTCTTGCTCAACTTGGATGAAAACAAAATAAAACATTCTCTTGTTAGCACAAACCCAGTTCTTTAGAGGAAGTAATGAATACAAAGATGGTTAGAATGTGGTGCAGAAAGGACTTGAATACCTCAAAATAATAAATACAGGATGAAATTAAGGTGTGGTTTTTAAAAGGAAAAAAAAAAACAATGTGATGAGCTTGAATCTTAATATTAGCTTGAGAGCTGCTCTGCTGGAGGCAGCTGGGGAGGGAGACAGTGGGTAGTGCTGAGGTACTAGTGTGATCCTCAGGTGAATGTGTCAATTTTCAGGACAGAAGGAAAGGCCTGGTGCTGTTACGTGCAGCTCTAAGACCTTACCTAACATTATCCTGTCATTCATAACTGAGAAACATGAACTGAACAAGTACAGACAAGGGCTGTACTTTTTTTACAGTACAAGAATATCCTGAAACAAAGTGCAGTGTGAGGAGTAAGAACCCAGGATTGCAGCGTGATGGGACAGTAGAGTCTATTCTTTTGCTGTCATGAGCAGCACATTCCTTTCCCCCAACTTAACTAAGTTCTACTCTAAAAATAGTTAAGATGCTGCCTTTTGCTATTCTCTTTGGAAAGCTATTTAGAGTGCATGGTTAGAAACACTTTGGGATCACTGGTTTCACCACGTATAAATTGAGACTGGAGTAATATTTCTGAGTTTGATTATTGGCTTGTTTTGGTCAGTATGAAGGACTTCAACTTTATGTATTCTCTTTTGTTAAGATCTTAAAATTTTCACTGATTAAAGTTTACTTTTCTTTCCTTGCTGATAATTTTAAAATTATGTGAGTTTTCAGTAATAAACAACTTCATAAATGTTTCATAAAGTTGTTCTCAATTGTGACAGAAGGAGAGGGATAAATACACCAAGATATATAGTTACATCTTATTGCTGAGTGGCAAAGTAGCTGTCACCTAAAACTAGAAATACAACATTTGACAGTTCGTGTTACTAGACAGATTTAATCTGCTGTGCGCTCGAAATACCTTGTTTATCTTAGTGGTACCTTACAAGTACAGACCCACTTTTTGGATTTTTTCTTTTTTTTTTTTTAAATAAAGGTCATCTATTTTATTTGAAGATGGAAACAAATTGCAATAAATTTTATTCTTGTCTTTAATAAAATTAAAGCAAAATTGACCTTCATTATGTCTTTATTTTATATGGTGGCAGTGTTATTTGGGTCTGACAGATTTTTAAAGACTTTTACTGACTCTGTATGTGTGATACCTGGTTTTCAAAAGTGGGTGCCTAAAATTAGATGTCTCTATCTGTAGCCTTGGTCTAGTTTTTAGAGGAATTGGAAACTTAGAGAAGACTCTTTCAGTGCTGGTATTGTTTTCTGATACTGGCAGGACAAACTGTGTCAGTAGTCTAAAAACCCAAAGCTATTCTCAGTGTTTTATTATTTCTGATTAAAAAATGTACCAGCATATTTTTAATTCAATCTTAATAAAGTTCTTTATTAATAGAATTATTTGAAGAATTTTTTTTAGAAAAACATTTTCCTTTCTGGAAAGCTGAAGTGAACTCTATTCAGATTAAGTGTTTGAATTCAGAGATCTGGTTATGGAATCTCATTTTCAACATCTGTATTTCAGATATCACCAGTCTGTGCTGCCTGCACAGACAAGGAACTCAGTTCCCACCTTCAGACCTATGGCACTGTAATACTTCTGGGAGACAGGAGAAAATAAAATCATAGAATCACAGAAGGCACTGGGTTGGAAGAGACCTTTAAAGCTCATCTAGTCCAATCCCTCTGCAGTGAGCAGGGATATCTTTAACTATAACAGGCTGATTAGAGCTCTGGCCAACCTGACCTTGAATGTTTCCAGGGATGGGGCATCTACCACCTCTGGCCAACCTGTGCCAGTGTTTCACCACCCTCACTGCAAAAAATTTCTTCCTTTTATCTAATCTGAATTTGCACTCTTTCAGTTGAAAACCATGACCCCTTCTCCTTTTGCAACAGGCCCTGCTGAAAATGTTGTCCCCATCTTATAGGCCCTCTTTAAGTGCCAAAAAGCTGGATTAAGATCTTCCTGCAGCCTTCTCTTCTCCAAGCTGAACAACCACAACTCTCTTGGCCTTTTTTCACAGGAGAGATGCTCTAGCCCTCTGACCATTTTTATGGTCCTCCTCTGGATGCACTCCAACAAGTTCATGCTCTTTTTGTGCTGAGAACTCCAGAGCTGGACACAGCATGCCAGGTCAGGTCTCACTAGAGCAGAGTGGTGTGACAGAATTACCTCCACTGATCTGCTGGCCACACTTCTTTTGATGTAGCCCAAAAAATGGTTGGCCCTCTGGCACATTGATGGCTCACGTCCATGTCTTCATCCACCAGTACCCCCAAGTCCTTTTCTGCAGGGCTGCTCTCAATCCCTTTGTCCAGCAGGCGGTACTGCTGCTGAGGATTGCCCTGACCCAGGTACAGGACCTTGCGCTTGGCCTGTGGGACCTCATAAGGCTCCCACAGGCCCACTTCTCAAAGCTTGTCCAGGTCCCTCTGGATGGTATTCTGTGTCCCTCAGGCATGTCAACCACACCTGCACAGCTTGAAGTCATCTGGAAACTTGCTTAGGGTGTATATGATTCCACTGTCTGTGGCATTGCTGAAGATATTGAACAGCACTGGTCCCAGTACAAGCCTCTGAGGGACACCACTTGTCACTGTTCTCTCAAGCTGTGGACCACTACCCTCTGGATGTGACCATGCAACCAGTGCCTTACCTACTGAATAGTCCACCCATCAAATCCGTATCCCTTCAATTCAGAGAGAAGGATGTTGTGGGCATCTGTGTCAGAGGCCTTACAGAAGTACAGACAGACAATGGGTAGCGTTTCCCTTGTCTGCTGATGTAGTCACTCCATTGTAGAAGGTCACTAGGTCGGTCATGCAGGACTTCACTTGGTGAAGCCATTCTGGCTGTCTCCAGACACCACCATGTCCTCCATGAGCCTTAGCATGTATATTTTTTGTTTCCCGTAGAGGCTTGGAGGGTTAGAACTGTCTTGCTGTTTGATTCCTTTCTTCCAAGATGTAACATATTTATAGGAGTTTTGGTCTGACCATAATGTATTGGAATTCTAGCTCTGAATCTGAGAAACAATTTGATGCAAGTCATGCTGGGCTCAAGGTACATCTGACCTGAATAAACTACCTGCCTTATGAGGAGGGAAGTTGTACCCTTGGCTTCTTGCTAAAGGAAACGTGGTTGACTACCTTCTGCTTGGATATCCACTGCAGGCATATGAGTCTCTCTTGTCTGGGTTGTCATCTGGAATTTGTTTGGTTCAAGACATGATGGAAATAGTGAACATAACTGCTTCCTTCTTTACACGTATGTTAGTAGCTTAGGCCAGAACAGATCTTCGGGCCCTTTGTATAAAATATGATTACACTTAAGTGACATGCAAAGGGGATATGAAGTGTGCTAACTTTTACAACTCATGCAGATTCAAACTTCAAAAAAAACAACCCACCTACCCCTCCTCCAAGTAAAAAGTGAGGCTTTTTCCTTAATTTTAGAGTAAAACTTGCCGGCCATATAATAGATCCAATACCTGTTAATCTTAACTGTTCTTATTGGTCTAACTTTTTAGTAATAAGATACAGAGCAAGTGTTGATGTTTACATAGAGTACACTTTTGTTGATCTGAATTAAATTTTAAATTGTTGATGCTGGATTTTATGTTTATTCTTATACTCCAGGTATTTCTTCACAAACTTATAAGTGCAATGTTTTTTTTCTTTTTTTTTCCAGATCTGTTTTCTCCTGTTTGCTGTTCTCTACATAGTTTCCTACTTCATAATCACAAGATACAAAAGGAAAGCAGGTAAGCATAGACTTCTTAGTACATTAAAAAATAATTTTGTTTTTCAAGTGAAGAGGTGATTCTTTTTCTCTCTGCCTACATAAGGAAAGCAAAAGAACTAGATCTTGGATCAAAACTGTTTCTTGGGCTGCTCATCTGGGGTTGCCCAGACTGACCTGGTGGTATATGTTCCTCCTTGCCCTCTGTCTGCTCCCTTTGTCCTTGAGCCACGAGTTACCATCACCTCCCTTGTATCTGCTCTGACACTTGTGAGATCCTTCAGCTTGCCTTCTGCTCTTCTTGAAGCTTTCTGCTTCAAGTGCACTGAAGCATCTCAGCAAAGGATCGGTGAGCACTGGAGCTGGCTGTTACAGAGGTGGCGTGGATGACCACAGGTTGGTTCTGTTGTGGCTCCATGGCAGCCTAAATTTTAACTGAGAGAGAAGAAAGGGGAGAATTTCAACAAGGTGCTTCTGCCTTCCTTGCCTTTAGATCCTGTTCTCCATTCATGTCAGCTTTTCCAGAATTAAGTATCTTCAGGCTATGTTTTCGCACCAAAATCAAATTCAGAGCTTCAGCTGGTAAAGTGAAAAGGTTGCCAATAATACAGAAAAGAAGTAGCAGATTTCTTCTAAAAATTGTTTTGCTCAAGTACAGTTATTTCCGTGTTCTTAACCTGTTCCTTATGACCTCACTGCTGAAGTCTTATTCTTTGAGATAATCCTGTATTTTAATTTCCTTTAGAAAGATTGTCTGAAATGAATGTGTAGAACCTCCTGTCATTTTCTTCTCTGTTTCTTCTAAAGACAAATAGACAAAAATCTGTATAAAATGGCAGTATCTTTGACTCTTGGCAGCTTATCTGGGACCTTGATACTTGGTACTACTCAGTAATACTGGAGAAACATTCTTATATGTGATGATCTTGGCATTTTGAACTTTAATGGAAAGTGTTTATTGAGCTCTGGTGATCTGTGTTGTGCTAGTGCTGCTTTCATGAAAATTGCTCCTGTTTGAACACAGGAAGTAGTGAGAACACATATTATCTTCTGATCCTGATGTGTATTTTGGATACTACAAAGCTGCTACCATTTGGAGATAGGGAGGAACAGGGAGGGCGAATTGGTTTGGCAAATGCTATTGAATGTAAAGATGCTTTGATTACCTTTCTGGCAGTTGATCTTGTCAGCTAGTGAGAGGAACTGCTCTCCAGCTGTCCAGACTCCATGAAAGCTTTGTGAGCTTTGTGATTTAGTTAGGCAAATCTTGAGCGTTTAGCTAGGCAAACTTTGTAGCCTGCTGGGATCTTCCTAATGAGTCATGCTTGTAGAGTTAACACATCTGGAATTCTTTCAGGACAAATTGTTTACTTGTTCTACAACACGCTCTTTAGCCAAAGTGATTCATAGGAGACCTTGACTTAGGCTCTCAAAATGTGATCATAACATTCCCATTAAAAAAAAAAACAAACCAGAAACAATAACCCAATGTACTCTCACAGAAGAATTTCAAAATAGCATGATGTCAGTGGCTAGTGTTTATTACAAGTGTGCGCATGGCTCTGAAGAACTTGAAACACCTGGCTTTATTTATTTTTACTTTTAAAAATAAAATTGAGTTACCTTTCATGGAAAACGTAGGAGACTGAAAAGAAGAAAGCTGACTCTAAAATTGTTTCAAATGTAGAAATGCATACATTTGTTTATGGATATGTGTAGAGGAGGATATAAAAGTATTAATTTTTGTTAGGAACGTTCTTAAAGTAGTGATGCTAATAAATTGATGTAATAATTTTAAATTTTAATTGTAAATGAAAATTATTCATATGTATAAACATTCTAGCCTGGAAAGATGACAAAGTCTTGAATATAACTTGCTGTAATTTAATTTTCAGATGAGCAAGAAGATGAAGATGCCATCGTTAACAGAATATCGTATGTATAGCTCTTTTTTGCAGAACTTTTTTCCTGAATATATTGTTATGATAGGAAACTGAAATGCTTCCAAATAATAGTCCATTTAAAATGTGTCAGCAAATAGGTTGCTATAGAGCAGAAGAAAAAGATTTGATCAAGTAACACTTTGTGTTATGGCAGGAGGCAAGGCAGTTTGGTCTAGGGCTTTTTTCACCTGTGGTTTTGCTGGTAGGCACAGAGTTGGCCAGAACATTGCATGAGGACCTGATGCAGTATCAGGTGGAATTCAGTGCAAGACCCAGACCCATGTAAGTTTACGTTTCTAAAGTGTAAGTTGCCACTGCAGAAAGTGAAAGTCCAGGATCCACTACTTCCCTTGACAGGGAAGAGAGTTAGCTCACCCTCAAGTAGCATCTGTATTTGATCATCTTAAAAAGGGAATAACAAATAGAAGACATGCACTTGCCAGGCCGGCTGGTCTGCCAGTGGCTCTTTCTCTTCTTCCTGTTCCTTTTTTAAAGCTAGATATTAATCTAAATATGTCTGAAGATTTGCAGAACATCAGTGGGCTGTTGCTGCCCTCTCAGTTATATGATTTACTAAACTATGTGGACTGGCTACTTGCTCATCACAGTGTTCTTAGCTCTCCCGTGGTGGTGCTGCCATCCTCTTGGAAGGAGAGCTCCTGAGTGTTCTATGGATTTGTCTTGTACCCTGGGAAAGTGACGAGGATATTGCAAGCTGTTAGCTTTTGGTTGTGCATTTGTGGCAAGCTTGCAAGAGGTACAAAGATGATGTAAACCTTAGCTGTGCTTCTCCTGGTATTTTTTATAAACGTTAAATATTTGCCACAAGGTGTAGGTAAGATCTAGAGAAAGATTCATACATTTAAAGGTCATGAAGCTCTTCCCTCTCACAGAGGAGCATCTCTCCTGTGATTTTTCTTTAAGTCTACAGTGAATGTTCTTCTAGATTGAATGATTTTCGTAGTGGCTGTGGTCTTAGCCTGGTTCTGAGTTTTTCAATATTCAGTGGGTAAAATCTGTCTTGTTAACTGTTATCACTCCTGCATCAATTTTCTAATTTATCTTCAAAATACAACAAATATAAATTGTAAGTACTGTATTCTTCATGTGAAAACAATGTAAGACAAGATTAGCACTTCCATCAGAGTAACAGCCTTTCATTAAAGATGTTATAAATATGAAATGCTTCTTATTCTTCCAGCCTAAGCTTTCTTGTTCCTTGAATGTGTCTTATTTTCCAAAAAGCAGTAACTATCAAACATATGCAGATGGATATTTCTTTGTGTAGCATAATTGTCGGGACATAAGAGGTGAGCAGGGGAAGAAAACAAAGCCAAACTGCTGTAGCACCTAGTGTATTAGGTTTCATAATTCTGACTTAGAATACTTAAACATCCTGAAATAAAAGAAAAAAAAAATCAACAAGAAAACAAACCCATGTAAGAATATATTTTTATAAAAAAACTATAAATTAGTCACCCAGACTTTCTTCTGTAAGTTAGGTATTGGGTGAATGGCAAATGGATTTGTAGACTGTTAAGGAAAAGTAAAATCTCAGTCATCAACTTACTGATATTCCTGTTGTAGGAATGACCTGTTTAAGTTTGTTTTTTAGTCATGCAACTTTGAGAATTATTTCTAGTTTTATTCTTGCACTGGATTAGTTCTGTACGAATGTTTTTGTTGGTCTTACTGTTTTTGAAGAACAGTTTTTTAATGCCACAAGATGATACTTGAATGTGGTTGGAGTCTAAAAAGATTAAGTTTAAGTATTTTTCAATTTCTGATGATTTCTCTGTGTTGACTTTACAGCTATCAGAAAACTCCAAGCTACGAGATGATGATTGAATAATTACTTTATGAAAGAAAAGCAATATTTTTTTTTCAATTTGGTGTTAAAATGTTTAAATGTACTCACTTTTTAGATGTTAAAAAGTTGCTCTTTTAAAAATTGTAGTAAGAAGGCAGAAACTGGTGTTTTTTTTTTTTTTTTTTTTTTTTTTCCTTCTGAGTGTGTATGGGAGAAGTGAAAACGAAGATAGACTTATGAAAAGATATTCCATGAAATCTAATTTAACTTGTATATGGTATTGGAATTGAATGCATGCAAGTCCCAAGAGAAAATCATGCTAAATGGTAAAAAACTAATTGTATTTGATGGTAAAAACTAATTATTTTTATTAGATTCTATAAACTACTTGGTATTTGCAATTTGCTTTTTGAAAGTCAGATGCTGTGGAAACGAGTCTCTCCTGCCCCTTTACAATGCAAGAGTGTGTTGCCTTCAGACACTGGTTAATAGGTAGGCTAACTACTTTTTTTTCCCCTGTTCAGAGCATGTTGGTGGTAACAGTGGTACATTTCTTTAAATTTCAGGCTGTTCTTGAGCACCTTCACTCTAGCAGTTTCAGCTGGTGCAGTCCTGCTTCTGCCTTTCTCAATAATCAGCAATGAGATCCTGCTTTCTTTTCCACAAAACTACTATATTCAGTGGCTAAATGGCTCACTAATTCATGGTTAGTACTCTGCATAATGTAATTAAAATGAATGTTGTCTTTATGCGTGCACAGATATGTTCTTATTTTCAAACTAATACCTATTTTCATTTTAAAGGCTAATTGAATTATTAATATGCTGTTGGCTAGTTGATTTTGCTACTGTGTGATGTATTGCAAAAGTCTGTCTTAACTGTTCTGTTGGATTTTTTTTTTTTTTTAAGAACTATGCAGACTTAGTGGGACTAAACCAAATTCACTGCTTTGGATATTAATGTAGAATAAGAGCTGCTAGAAGCTAACTTAAAAACACACTGTTCATACTTCTTCCTTGTGTGTTAATGGAAGATTCATAAGCCTACCTCTTTATGATGATACCTTTTTTTTTGAGAATGAATGTATAAGAAACTTGTTAGCTCTTAGCAGTTAGGATTGGATAATTGAATTCAACTTAGTGATTTATTTGTAAACAAGGAAGAGGATAGAATCTAAGTGTTGAGTGTGGTAAAGAGCCACAATAAACAAAAATGTTCCAAGGAAAACTAGATGCAAAAAAAAGAACTTGTACTTGCAGTGCTGATGCCCTGATGTCTGTCAGAGTGAGTGTTGTGTGCTTTCCAATATTGGTTAGTATCCTTATGACTGTGACATGTATAATGGATACTAATATTTGAAAATAGTTTGGTCACTTCTATGTGTATATTCTTCAGTAGATTGGGCTGGAGAAAAGACATACTGCCTTCACAATGTGAGACTAATCTGGAGCAAATAATTTACAGTTTAACTGTGCTGACCTTTTTCTGCTCTTGAGAAGAGATAGTAATTTGGCTTTGGAGGAGTATTCTCTGAAAAATGTGCATTTTTTACTACATGTCTAATAATACAGATGGCAAATTCACGGATTTCCAGGTCCCTGCCTTGCAAGGTTGTGCTTTTTGTGTGTGCGCTTTCCTTTTAAGATTAAAGGAATTTAGAAGAAATTAAATGTGGATAGGTGAAGACAGGAAATAATGCATGTTGTCTATCATCTTTCTAAAGCTACTTGAGTACTTGTTTACTGTCCAGATAACACAAAAGAGATGTTTTTGTTTTTAAGCCCATGAATAAGGAGGAGCTGACTGTAAGTGTCGTGGTCAATGGTGACACTGACTGGGGAAAAGTGAGGAAGGAAAGTACAAGAATGAAAGACATGAGATTTTGAGAGAGGAGACTTTCCTCTTTAGGAAGTGTAGATGTGGAGTCTTACTAGTGAATGCCCTGAAGGCCAAAGAAGCCAGGAGAGATGCCTGCTTTCAGGGATGATCTTCAGAGCACTGTAATGTATACCTTGGTGTGCCAGAAAATTAGGAGGTGTAATAGGAGGTTGACTTAGCTTAATGAGAATCTCCTGAGCTCAAAACCAAAAAGGAAATGTTCAGAAGGTAGAAGTATGAATGAACTGCCCAGGAAGGGGTGCAGTAATAACACCTGGGTTAATACCCTCGTGTGAAAGCCTGGGCACAGTTTGATTTATGAGTGGTGAGGAGTTTGTATAGAGTCATCTTCATCTCTAGAGAGTGTAGTGAGAGGCAAAAAGCAATGTCTGCAGGACAAAAAGCAACAATTCTTAATGGTAAGGATGGTTGAACGCTGGAAAAAAATTGAGAGTTCTGAATCCTTGGAAGTTTTCTAACACTCATCTGTCTAAAGCCCTGAGCAACCTGATTGCACCTGCAGTTAAGCTGTTTTAAGCAGCAGGTCAGACAACATGACTTTAGAGGTTCTTTTTAGTTGAGTTATTCTATGATCTATTTAGTCATGCCTCATAGAGGATTGCTAATTTGGTATGTCTCCTATCTGGAAGTAAAAAAATATCAGCTAAGTCTGTTTTTTTTCCACACAGATTTTAGCTGCTCAGACTAATTTAAATCCTTTACTCCCAAACATGAAAAAAAAACTAATGGAAAATAATCCTTACTTCAAGGTCAGAATTGACTTTGGACAAACTACAACAAAATATTTCAGAGAGTGAAAATTATACACTGACAGACTCAGAAATTGTGGCTCCCAAAGTGGCTAGAGTACTTGGGAAAACTTGGGTTAATTAGAAATCTGCAGGAAGAAGTGGCTGTCACATAGGAAGGCCTTTCAGTTTTCCAGTGACCATCTTTTGGTTTTGATGTGATAATCTTTTCGAAGTACCACTTAATGCATTCAGAATATAGTTTGTATTCCTGAAGTCCAATAATAATGGCTAGCAGGGAAGTAAATTCAGCATCTTGGTGTTTCCAAGTTTGACTGGATATTGCTAGGGCTAGACATGACTGAGCTAATCCAAGGTTTACCACAGCTAGTGTGAAGGCTTCAGAAACATCAGTAGAGTTTGGATCTGACTGCAGACCTGTGTTACTGCAACTCGACTCAAAAATCGTGTGCTTTACTCCAAGGCATTCCCTTGGGGGAGCGCTCCCTCTTGTGGTAGTCGCTAGGTTTGCACAGAACCATGGCTCTGCTTGCAAAAACCTGTGCCTGGAGTGGCAGTACCTTTTTCCACTTAGTTATGAAATGCCCGTGCAAGTTTTGAGAGCTGATAGTGCTGTCTCAAGCACTCCGGTTGAGATGTTCATATCTCCATGATGCTGCCCAGCACAGCCTTCAGGTACAATTTGCTTCCTGCTTTGCAAATGTTATCAAACAGGAAAATTTGTATTGCTTTAAGCCCCTTTGGTTTTGCTCAATTTAGCAGTTACAGATAATAGTCTGAAGTACTTGAATGTAGCATTAAGGGTTTTTATACTGTAGACTGTTGCATTAGTTGTGGCATATAGAAAAAGAGGAAAATACATGACTGTTTTTTGAAACCAGGCAGAAGGCCCATACCTGAATCCAGTAGAAACCCTCCTACCTAATGCTTGCAGAACTAAACCCAGAAGTACTTCTGAGAGCTGGGTGCTTGCTTGTGCTGTTGTTGGCTACAGCCACCAGGTGGGAGTACAACGTAATGAAACTGCCAGGAGTAAGAAAGATGAACTGCTGAGGCTCCCATCTGTTTGCCAAAGACTAAGAGATTTTTAATTTTTATGTTTTATTAACTTGTGGGAGATATTCTTAGGTTGCTACAAATGCAAAATAATTAAAGTATTAGAATAGACTGCTTAAAACTTTCATATATGCTGATATCTGCAAGTTTCTCCCATGCAATTTTGTGATGCAGTCAGTGTAGTAGGAAATCATTTTTCTGGATCTATTTTAACTTGATTACTGAACTATCAAATTAGGATAAGAAATATGGTAGGGGAAGAGGAAAATCCTGTATGTTCCTTGCTTTGAGCAAAGTGTAGGTGTATATCAGCAGCAGTACAGCACTGTTCTTATCTCTCATAACTTTACATGCATAACATAGGTCTGTTGTTTAATATTCTGTAAATATTCTGTGGTTCCCATAAGATGCTAATGTGTGAACGTCTAGATTTTAACTTCTTAAAAAATCACCCCAGATGTGCACCACTCTCCCTGGCCCTATAATGATCTGTACATACTGTGCAGCTCCTGAGCACTGTTTTACGTTGTAGATACACGTGTAATAGAGCTGCTGAAATTAGCACAGCTTGGTATTCAGCTTTGTATTAGGTAACTGAATGCACTATCAAGTCTTCAGTTAGAGAAAACTGCTGACATAAGACCTCACCTCCATCTAATAGTATTTCTACTCTAACACTGGTGTCTTAATTTTCTGGGAGGAAAAAAGAGAAGAAAAAAAAAAAACAAATCACAAACAAACAACAAAAAACCCCAAAACAAAACAGAAAGTAGGCAGACTGCTGGGGTTAATGCACCCCCACTAAGGGCTGTTAATGACATTCTTGCTGATGTTGCTATGCCTGAATGTTTCTTGAATGGTAACAGGAGCTTCCTGGCTAAGCAAATTCAAAAGGAAAAATCCCTCTCTTTGTTAACTGGAGTTTAACACCCTTTGGGCAGTCTGTTTTCTTTAGCAATTGAGTATTATATTTCAGGCATCTTTTGGAATTTTCTTGGTTTGTTTACTGTTGCTTATTTGGCCAAGTTTGGTTCCTAGTGTCTGGGTGCCATCAATTGCTGGAGAAGTACATTTCTTTGCCTCCTGCCTCCTTCCTCCTCCCTCATTTTTATTTCTCCTTGAGATGTAAATCATTTAAGTTAAAAAGCAGTATATATGCTGAACACTTTTTTTTTAACAGCGTGTAGGTAAAGATAATTGCTAGTTATTTTGCATTTGGCACTAAATACAGGAATTTCTCTCAATAATGAATTCCTCAGACATTCAGTAAATGATTCTTTCCTTCCATATTCTTTTCAAAATGGACAATTTCAAAGAAGATGATAAACAAGCCTGTATATAAGAAGAAAGAAAGAAAGCTGTTCAAATTTTCTTATCATAGGGGCTGTTCTTTTCTGGATTTCAGTTGATACATAGTCCTGCAGGATTGTGGAGAAGTGTCTGTTTTGGGGAAGATGGGGGACTAAGCCTGTTTTTTCTCAGCTACAAAATAAGAGCTTTGTTTTTAGGATGCAGAACATGTGACAGTAGTTAAACCTGTTAGCTACTAAATTGCAGGTAAGCTTCTGTTTTTATAAAGCAGCAGCACTGCATTCTGCACAACTTCTGATAGGATGGTGATGGCCTCATGTTCAGGCAGCAGCAGCTGGCTGTTCAGAAAGTGTTCTGCTTAGAAAATCTTAATAGAGCGGATATCTTTAACAGAGATCAGTTACCACTCCAGGTTGTTTTCTAAACCTTTTCCCTTCCTGCAGATGTCATATATTTTACAGATGTCCTAGTTTTAGTCATATAGTTAATTTTTCTTTTTTCACCTAGACCACAGAACTGTTGAGGTTGGAAGGGACTGCTGGAAATGGTCTATTCTGACCCCTCTGCTCAAAGAAGGGTCAATTAGAGAAGGCTGCTCAGGGCAGTGCCTATTTGGATTTTGAATATGTTGAAGGATGGAGACTACAAAACCTCTGTGGGCAACCTGTTGCTGTGTTTGACTACACTCACAGTGGAAATAGGGGTTTGGGATTTTTGTTTGTTTGCTTGTTTTCTTTCTGCTTATATTTATACATTTTTCCCCATTTTTTTTCTGTTTGTGTTTATTGTCTCTTATCCATTCACTAGATACCACTGTGAAGAGCCTGACATTTTCCTTTCCTCCTCTCACATCAGATACTGATATACATGGATAAAATCTTCCTGAGTCCTCTCTTCTCAAGGCTAAACAATTCCCCCTTCCCTAGCCTCTCCTTGTATGACAAATGCTGCAGTCCTTTAATCATCTGTGTGGCTCTTTTGCTGCGCTAACTCCACTATGGCCATGTCTGTCTTGAGTGGAGGAGCCCACAACTGGATGCAGTGCTCCAGATGTGTGCCAGCAGTGCTGAGCAGAGAGGAATATCTTCTGTCATCCAAATCATTAATGAAGGTGTTAAATCCAGTATCAACCCCCTGGCGTGTACCGCTGATGACTGGCGTCCAGCCTGACTTGTGCTGTTGGTCGTAACCCTTTGAGCCCAGAAGCTCAACCAGTTTTCAGCACTTACCTAGCCCATACTTCATTAATTAGACTATGAGGAGATGTATGGCAGATGATGTTGAAAGCCTTACTAAAGTTGAGATAAACAACATCCACTGCTCTCCTTTTGCCCACTGTCCCAGCCATCTCGTTGTGGAAAGTTGCTGTTACCATGATGCTTGCTTCTAATTTGGAGGCGATGATGTCATTTCTGTATTGCTAATGTTAAAGGCTGTGATTTGTCTAAGTTTGTCTTTATGGGAGCAAAGTGAGTACCCAACTGAATTTTTCATCTATAATATATTTTATAATCATTGGTAGTAGTAGAATACTTTTCTCCTGAAAACTTTTTAAATTGTTATCTAAAGATCCTTCAGTGGGATATTATGGAAGTAGTCTACCTGAGTTTGCAGTCTGTCTCCAAGGTTTCAGACATTTGCTGCTGTTTAAGTTCTTACCCATGTTTTTGTTTGAGGATCATTACACAGAGAAATGGGTATTTTTCAGCAAAGACCTGTGAATAACTACATATCCGTAAAAATACTGTGTATATACTGGATTTTTATATTTAAGGGAGGAAAATGTAATACCTTTAACTCTTAAAGCTGAGAAACTTACAATGTAACCTTTTTCCTTTCCTTGTTGCAGGTTTATGGAATCTTGCTTCTCTTTTTTCAAATTTATGTTTGTTTGTGTTGATGCCCTTTGCCTTTTTCTTTCTGGAATCAGAAGGATTTGCTGGCTTAAAAAAGGTAGGAGAATACTATTAAACACAGAGTAATGCATTATATATTCCATCTTCAGACCTCGTTTCTGATGAAACTGAAAGTACAAATTTGGGAGGGTTTGGTGCTGAGGTGTGTGTGCTGGTGTGATTGTGTGTATACAGGCGCACGCTCCTGCCCAGGCAGGTGAAGTGAGCGTACAGTGCATGGGGGAGAGTCAGCATAAAGGGGGAGAAAGTCCTTGAAAAGCCAGGCATATGAGGTCAAGAAAATTATTTAGCTTTTTTTTTTTTAATAATGAAATGTTTTAAACAAAATTTTTTTTTTAAAAAAATGGGTTGCTACAAAGATAGAAGGTTCAGTAAATACAGAGAAGTAAAGTAACAAGGGAGAGAAGTACAGGCTTGTTATTAATGGGAACAGTGATTAAATAAGAGATGACCCAGAGAGAACAAGCTCGATTTGTGAATTTAAAAGATTATGAACATCCCAAGAAAGGTTCAGGTGTGGTCAGTATTAACAGTAATATGCTAGGAAAATTACTATAATGGGAGGCACAGTGAAATGAATTTCAGTTCGTAAATATTATATAAATTAAACTGGAATGACTGTCTGGGGACCAATTGTAGCATGCTTTCATTAATCTTTTTCATCCAAATGATTACACTTTTGTTTTTAATGATACTACACCTGAGGGAATTCTTTGGATGGCAGTTACTAGAAAGCAGGGGATCTTGAAAAGTGATGAAATCAGGAAAATGAAATTGCATTCAAGATAGATGTAAAACATGGTTAGTTGTTGGTAAAGCACGTGCAACATAAATCAACAAGGTGATGATTGTGGTGGGAAGGAAAACATAATTCCTGGTTGCATTGACAGGAATTGGTGTGGAGGCAGTGAAGTTGACATTTTTGTTCCTGGTGGAATTGAGGGAAACTCTGCTGAAATACTGCATTGTTTGGGATTTTGGGATGTAGACACTTAAAAGAGAAAACAGGACAAAAAACCCAACAAACCCACCTTAAAATTTTCTTTGTGCTGTATTTTCTAATAGAGAATGATGTGAAGAAACACAGTTTTTATTCTATAGCTGAAGCTACTAGGATGTTACCTAGACTGAGCAATATAGCTGTGTCAAAAAGGACCTGCAGGACCCAAACAAGATGGTGTATAAATACTTGTTTGGTGTAGTCTGTTCTGAGATCCCTGATGCTGCTGAAGTGTTGGTTTGTATTGACAGAGTTGTAGAGGTATCCAAGTTACCTCAGTTACAAGTGTGGTTGACCATGCCGAGTTCAATTTTAGAGAAGTTTGGTGATGCGCTGCAGCCTTTACTTACCAAACTTGTCTGGAAAACATTCTTCTTCATCTTTCACTTCAGGTATCTGTAGGGCTAAGAAAACATTTAACAGCTCATTTAACAGTACCACGTACTTGCAGTAAGTACTATGTACATTAAAGAATTACATCACATAATGGGTTGATCAGAATCTACATCACATAATGGGTTGATCAGAATCTAGGAAAATATGTGGTTAATTGAGCTCATGATTACACATAAATTTTTCAGGTCTAGAATCTGTGAAGAGTACTTCACATCTTTTTTGCTTTCTATGGATTTTGTAGGACTCTGGTACTTTAACAAGTTATGTTGGTTTTGATTATACTTGTGCAAGTTAAAAAAAAAAAGTCATTTTGTCGTTCATCCCATCAGACTAACAGGCCAGAGAGCTACAACAACATTCAAATGCAACTGAACTGGCAAAATCAGATTTTAGTGATCTTAACCTAAAAGAACGTTTCATAACTATGGCAAAAACCTGCAGCATTTAAGAGAAGAGAGATCTGTAAATGTGAAGACATTCAATAAAGAGTTCTGGCACAGGATATGTAATCTTTAGTCTTTCAGTTGGGCATTGGATATATGGAGTAGGAAAAGCTGTTGATTCTCTATGCCCAGTTCAGATAAAAATTTGGATAAAAAGACTGTTCTAAGGGAAGCTTTTGTGCAGGTCATGTTGAATTTGTCATAGAATTACCTTCATTATAATGAAAAAAAGGTCACTTGAGATTGAGGTGTGCACAGTTGGAAGGTGTGTATTTGAAGGTGTTTGTGTAAGAATTACTTGCTGGATTTTCATAGAAATGACTAAAGTGAATGATTAAAAGAGGTTCAGTTCCAAAACCGAGTGCATTTTTTCCATTTTAAAATTTCCATTCCTTTCCATTTCTTTGTTCAGCTTCAGTTTCAGCAGTGGTGTTAGTCACTGTCACATGGGCCTAATCCCTGAAGTTTATAACCATCTGAGTGTTTATCATAGGTTTTATTGTTTGTTTATCATAGATTTTATTTTATGTATTCACTGTAATGTGAACTTTCTGCAAGCCATGACATTGCCCATAGCTCGTAGCAGTAGGTTACTGTTAGGAGCTTTGTATAACTCTTCTTTCTATGTTCTTGTAAGGAAGTATTGCCCTCTTAACTGTTTCATGAATCAGAATGGGTTTGATTAACCACCTTACAATTTACTATGGCTTTTTTCTTGGTAGCTAGTATACGTTATAAATGGCACATGGCCCCTCTTATAGACTCTTTCAGTTCCCCAGGGCAACAGTTTAAAACAACCAAGAACTTGCATATTGTGCAGAGGAGAGAAATACGGAAATTAGGCACTGACCGTGGACAGATGCAGCATTGTACTGAAAATCAAACTGATTCTTTGCCTAGTTTTTAATTAAAACCACTGTATTAATTCAAAAAGGGAATTTTTTGGGCCTAAAGGGGTTGACTCTGCCCTTTTACAGAGCTTAAGTGCTCTTCCTTGCTATAATTTATGTCCATTTAATGGCAGTTTTCAGGCTTCTGCTCTCAGGAAAATAATTATAAAAGCAATATTGGATGTGTATAATATATGCATATGTCTGTCTTGGTGTATATATGTGTACATCCCACGTGTGTATCTATGCACACATGTATTTTCATGTGTGAATTAGGTTTTTCAAGATGATTGACGTAGTTAGAGGTCAGTGTGATGTATTGTACCCTAGCTGGTGAGATTAATTGAGCTACTGAAATACCTGAAGTAGTTTTTAATCTCCTCCATCAGTATTAAAAAAATTTCATATCTTTCTATATTTTTCTTGTCTTCCTTTTGTAGAGCCTATGCATAAGGTTATATTTCTTGTTTAGATTCTCTTTCAGTTCTTTGTCACTGTCCTCAAACTCTGCGGGACAGTTATGAAACAAAGTTGTCAAATATGTTTTTTAATGTCAGAATGAACCTCATTCCTTATCATTCTCTCCAAAAAAGGAAAATGGTGGTATTTGCAGTTGGGCATCTGTAGTTCAGTGCTGAGGAGCGTTAAGTGTAGTTCAGTTTCCATGAGTGGTAACAGACTGCACAGAAAATCACGTGTGCTGCTGTGTGAAGGAGACAAGCATTTTTGAGGAGATAATTGCTATACCTTTTCTTGACCTTTAAAATATGCTTTCTCTTGATGTAACTTCAACTGAAATTTGTATTTGTTTGAAGTTGACAATGATGAAGAAGTTTAGGACTAATTTCCTTGTAAGAAAATACAAATAGTGCAGTTTACCTCTGCGAGAAACTGGAACAACTGGGTATTGCATAATCACGAGTGTGGAGTTTTAAAAAGGCTTTATGAAGCATTTTAACTTAATACTGATCTTTGAACTTGAAGTCATGGCATAAAGTTTAACATGAGCGACAGCAACATCCTGACCAATTATCCAAATTATCCAGACATCCCAAAATGTTCAGAACACAACACACAGAGTCTGTGGATTAAGAGGTTAACTCCTGGAACATCAAAAGAAGTGCATGATAATAAAACCAAATAGTACAAAAATTTGAGGTAACTTCCTTGCTTAATTAATTAGGTAGACCAGGTGGAAGCGAAGAGGCCAGAGCTGGTGCTCAGAATGTCTATAAAGCTGAGCAACATGACAGCACAATGGAGGAGGAACAAAGATTTTTTTAATATACTTCTATCCTGTGTCACAGTTTGAAATTGTCCTGGTTTATGTCCCTTTTGGCAAACTTACATAAAAGTGACCCTGTACTGTATTTTATGACCAGATGACTTTTTTCCCCAGTGGCTAATTTGTATCAGACCCCCATCTTAAAGAGACACAGAAATGAGTAGGAAGTCCAAGCCGGTTTGTCTCAATGAGCTTTCATTGCATGCTTTCATTATTTTTGCTCGTTTTTGCCACTGATCATCCATAAATTGTTGGAAATGAGTGATTAAGGAAGTGCTGCTTAGTGTTAGTGGCACATGCACATTCTTGGTATGTTTTTTGTGGGTGAGAGGAAATCGCGTACTGCACAAACAAAAAGGAAGACTCCTGCTGGGAACCTTTCAAGGAAATTTAACTTGCATAATGTTTTGATCTTGGTGTTTATTACAGAAAATAAGAGTAATATTTCACCAGCTATTGTTATGTGTCAGCTAGTCTCTCCATCTGCTTGCCTTTCTTTGGTACCTCTTCCCAAATTCTCATTGAGCTTATTTTAATAAAAACACCACTTAAGAATATAGCAATTTATTCTTACGCTTCAGGCAGGTGAGGCGGGCCAGTGTTCAGAACAGTTTATTGCACAGTGCTTGCTACTGTATGAGATTTGGCTAAAGAGTCCTGCCTGTGTTAGCAGCTGCAGCTTAGCCCGTGTGAGGAAGATGTGGTGCATAGGTTCCCTTCCAAAGAGTGAAGTGCAGTGATTTCTGCTGCTAAAGGCACATTTCTTCCCTTCCCCTCTTCCATTGGAGCGTGACTTTTAACCATGTAGTTTGTAAAAAAAATTACTTATTTGTGGAGGTAGTGAAACACTGAAGCTTTTCAAAAATAGAGTTGCTAGTGTTTTTTGGAACTGCTTTTATTGCTCTAAAGGGAAGGTTAACTTGCTGAGCAGCCGCAGCGTGCAAGTCTTCCATTTCCTCCGTATTGGAGATGGTTTGATGTGCTCTGTATTGAGCTAAGCTTAAGTTTCTAATACGTTTGTGT